GAGCAGATAATATTGCCCGAAACACTTCAGAATTCATCCTGCTGCTTTTGTCAGCAGTCACATCATCAATAAATACAAGAGAACCAGTTCCATTGGCAGCCATACATGCCCACGCCATGACACTACCACCACCATGCTTCACTGATGAGGTGGTATGCTTAGGATCATGAGCAGTTCCTTTCCTTCTCCATACTCTTCTCTTCCCATCACTCTGGTACAAGTTGATCTTGGTCTCATCTGTCCATAGGATGTTGTTCCTGAACTGTGAAGGCTTTTTTAGATGTCGTTTGGCAAACTCTAATCTGGCCTTCCTGTTTTTGAGGCTCACCGATGGTTTACATCTTGTGGTGAACCCTCTTTATTCACTCTGGTGAAGTCTTCTCTTGACTGTTGACTTTGACACACATACACCTACCTCCTGGAGAGTGTTCTTGATCTGGCCAACTGTTGTGAAGGGTGTTTTCTTTACCAGGGAAAGAATTCTACGGTCATCCACCACAGTTGTTTTCTGTGGTCTTCCGGGTCTTTTGGTGTTGCTGAGCTCACCAGTGCGTTCTTTCTTTTTAAGAAAGAACCAAACAGTTGTTTTTGCCACGCCTGATGTTTTTGCTATCTCTCTGATGGGTTTGTTTTGTTTTTTCAGCCTAATGATGGCTTGCTTCACTGATAGTGACAGCTCTTTGGATCTCATCTTGAGAGTTGACAGCAACAGATTCCAAATGCAAATAGCACACTTGAAATGAACTCTGGACCTTTTATCTGCTCATTGTAATTGGGATAATGAGGGAATAACACACACCTGGCCATGAAACAGCTGAGAAGCCAATTGTCCCATTACTTTTGGTCCCTTAACAAGTGGGAGGCACATATGCAAACTGTTGTAATTCCTACACCGTTCACCTGATCTGGATGTAGATACCCTCAAATTAAAGCTGACAGTCTGCAATTAAAGCACATCTTGTTTGTTTAATTTCAAATCCATTGTGGTGGTGTATAGAGCCAAAAATGTTAGAATTGTGTCGATGTCCCAATATTTATGGACCTGACTGTATATCTAAATCCAAAAATCATACTTTTATTCTATGTTGCAGCTCACCAATCATTAGATAAGGTGGCTGCATTTTGTTCACACTAAACACATTTTCTACAAGTACAGAAAAATACCATTTGTTCCTAATAAAAATCCAATGTCATTAAAAATAAGGAAGGTAACTATGTGTGCATGTGGACAGCCAGCTGACACTTACAAGTGATTCACACCAAAAGAGGTCAAATAAAAAACAAAATAAGGGTGGCGCTATCCAAAATCGCTCAATAAATAAAGTGTAAATAGCAAAGATGAATTATATGTGACATCTAAATACAAACTTGCAATTACAAAGAGAACATCACTGAAAATCGTGCTGAGCAAGAATCAAAATTTGCGGAATCAATACGGAAAAAAAAAAAACATACAATGCAGCCCAAAAAACCCACCAAAGACTTTGGGCATAAATATAATGACAGTTCACTTTATCTCTTAGATTGTAAGCTCTTGTACTGCCCTTATGTTGTAAAGCACTGTGTAAACTGTTGGCGCCATATAAATCCTGTATAATGTTAATATAATAATAGTTTATTGAGAGATTGTTGGATAGCGCTGCCCTTGTTTTGTTTTTTTATTTTAAATCCAGTGTCATTGAACTGAAATCTCAGACAATAGATCAACTAATTATGAACAACAGAACACCGTGCTCTACATAATTCATCCCACAGATTGAATGAAAGAAAATGAATTATGTATGGCCAGCCTTAAAAGAGAAGTTTAGGGGGGGGTTTTTTCTAGAAATTATACTTACCAAGTTTGAACAGAGAGGGGAACACCTGACCAGACCAGATCTATACAGGAGCCTGGAGTGTGCCCTATAAGAGTATTGTCTCTAAATGCATCTGGTGAGTGCACAGCCTTGTCGTACATAGCGGTCACCTCACCATTTGTTTTGGACGGCGAACCTATTGTTGGAGACATTTTGATCTCCCATACTCACATTTGGACAATTTATTCTATCATCATTGTTCACCACGAGTCACTCCTACAGTGACGGAATACATGATATCACTGAAGTCACTTTATATGTTGGCACCTTGTCATGAGTCACTTTATGTATTTTATATGATTCATGATTTTACATATTTGGCATATAGATGTATTGATTATTGTTTAACCGCCGCACCTTATATATGTTTGTGTTTTGAAAGGTTGTTTGGTATCCATTGGTGCGTTGGCTGCTTTTCTGACTTACAGCGCTCGCTTTTACTTTGTTTCTGATTTTAAAGACTGCTAATTGCTCAGTACTCCATGAGCAGAGAGCTGGTGACTGTCAGTGCCCCCCCCCCCCCCCCCCCCCCCCAGAGTGTTCACTGGAGCACTGGGCTATGGAGATCACCGACAGGCTCTGAACCAGGTGCCAGTCCAGACATCTGGGTGGATCCCAACTTTAAAGTCAGGATCTTTCCCCAGCCTGGACCCCCCCCCCCAGGCTGAGTGACGTCAGCCAACAGCAAACTTTAGCCCAGCACTTTGGCTGTACTCCTTTAACCGCTTTCCCGTCGCCCTATAGCAGATATACTGTTACAGGGCGGCAGGGGTGCGCAAAATCACATATATATGTGATTTTGCATTTTCGGGTAGGGGGCGTGTGCGCCCTACCCGTACCACTATTCGCAGCCTTGGCTGTCAATTACCAGGTCCCGGCCAGTGATTACTTGCTGGCACCCAGTTATCGCCGAGCATTACAGACGGAGGAAGAGAACTGTATGTTAACAATACAATTCTCTCCCGTCAGCTCCTGCACACTGCTTTGGATGGCTCTGCATAGCAGAGCCATCCAAAGCAGTGTGCTTACAGTGGAAAGCACTAACACAGCACACAGTAAAACGGCACACAGTTAACCCTTTGATCGCCCCAGATGTTAACCCCTTCCTGCCCAATGACATTAGTACAGTGTCAGTGCTTTTTATTAGCACTGATCACTATTGCTGTGACTGGGGATGTCAGTGACACCAAGTCAGTTCCCTCCAGTGTCAGAATGCCCACTGCAGTCCCACTATAAGTTGCTGATCGCCACCATTACTAGTAGAAAAAAATCCCAGTATCTATACCGCCATTTGTAAACACTATAACTTTCATGTAAACCAATTAATTTACATGTATTGGGATTTTTTTTTAGCAAAGACATGGAGCAGAATAAATTTATGACAAAATTAGATCAAAAAATGTTTTTTTTCTCAAAATTGTTGGCCTTTTTTTGTTTATAGAGCAAACAATAAAAACCGCACAGGTGATTAAATACCACAGAAAAAAATGTTCTATTTGTGGGAAAAAAGGACATAAATTTAATTTGGGTACAGCATTGCATGACTGCGCAATTGTCAGTTAAAGTAACACAAAAAATGGCCTGGTCAGGAAGGGGGATAAATCCTCTGGAGGGCAAGTGGTTAATCACAGCAGAGCCTCACAGCTTTAAGATGACATTGCAGATGTGCACACTAGGTGGTGCTGATGTGCTGAATGTGGGTGGATTTGCTGCTATTACTGATGTAACAAGGTAGTAGGGAATATTTAGGAAACTTCTAATTAAATGCAGTTTGTATAGAATTTCCATCCTACTTTTTTAAATCAAATCAAATCATACTATAAAATAAATACAACATACTGTGACATTTTCTTATGTAACACAGCAAATAGGTTTTAAATAAATGGTCTCCACCTCTCCAAAAACGACAGATGAGAAAGCAACCTATTATTCCCTGTAATAATGACACAAAGGTGCCGCCCGACCCCATTACCCCCTCCTGCCCTAATCCGGAACATTTTCAGCAGAACCCCCACAGCTTTATTGACACCGAGGGACTTGAGAGGTCCTCTCCTTCCTATTCAGGCCACAAAATTATACATTATTTTACATTTTTTCCTAATTGATTTTCATGGCCACATAAACCAGCTGTCCAACTTACCTGTCATACAAGGAACTGCAGAGAGTAAAATGACTGGATGCCAGCACATAGGAGAGAGAGAGAACAGAGTAAGTTACAGTGTATAAAACTGATATGAAACTATCACCATTGATATATAACCTGTTTGGAAGGAACAGGTTCTGCTCAAAGGACACAATAGATGGCAAAGGGCACAGTGGATGAATGTAGATATGTCTGATCTATGGCAGGAAGCTGCCCGGTGTGTAAATGACAACTTCATGGCCTCCTTATATAATTTCACTGCATTGGCTGAAGGATGCTGCAAATGAATTTTCTTATAACGGATTGTAAAAGGGTTAGGCTCTGTGCACACAAGCGTTTTTATAAGCTCCTAGAAGCTATTGTCCGCATATTTTTTTTTCTGCACCTAGAAGCTAAGTCGTGTTATCTCAGTGGTTCTCAACCTTCCTAATGCCGCGACCCTTTAATACAGTTCCTCATGTTGTGGTGACCCCCAACCATAAAATTATTTTTGTTGCTACTTCATAACTGTAATTTTGCAGTGGGAGGAGTAGTGCCACATCATTGGTGTCAGTGGAAGGAGTAGTGCCCCATCACTGATGTCAGTGGGGTGAATAGTGTCCCATCGTTGGTATCAGTGGGAGGAATAGTGTCCCATCATTGGTGTCAGTGGGAGGAATAATGCCACATCGTTGGTGTCAGTGGGAGGAATAGTGCCCCATCATTGGTGTCAGTGTGGGAGGAATAGTGCCACATCATTGGCGTCAGTGGGAGGAATAGTGTCCCATCTTTGGTATCAGTGGGAGGAATAGTGCCACATTGTTGGTGTCAGTGGGAGGAATAGTGCCCCATCATCAGTGGTGTCAGTTGGTGTGTGGGAGGAATAGTGCCCCATCATCATTGGCGTCAGTGGGAGGAATACTGCCCCATCGTTGGTTTCAGTGGGAGGAATAGTGCCCCATCATTGGTGTCAGTGTGGGAGGAATAGTGCCCCATCATTGGTGTCAGTGTGGGAGGAATAGTGTCCCATCTTTGGTGTCTGTGGGAGGAATAGTGTCCCATCTTTGGTATCAGTGGGAGGAATAGTGCCCCTTCATTGGTATCAGTGGGAGGAATAGTGCCCCATCATTGGGGTCAGGGGGGGGAATAGTGCCCCATCATTGGTATCAGTGGGAGGAATAGTGCCCCATCATTGGGGTCGGGGGGGGGGGAATAGTGCCCCATCATTGGTGTCAGTGGGGGGGGGGAAATAGTTTCCCATCGTTGGTGTCGGTGGGGGGAGGAATAGTGCCCCATTGTTGGTGTATGTGTGGGAGAAATAGTGCCCCATCATTGGTATTAGTGACACCAATGATGGGGCACTATTCCTCCCACTGACACCAATGATACCTTGCTGACCCCTGCTCCAGCCTGGGCTCGCTCTCTCCCTCTCCCATCTACAGCCAGCATACCTGGCTGCAGCAGCAAAATTTGCATGGTACAGACACTTACCGGTCAGCTGTCTTCCTTCTCTGGCCGCTTTCCTCTTCACTCGCTCCGGCAGCTCCCTCGCTCGATCTTCTTTGATCTACGTGCGCTGCCGCTCGGCTCCTCCTCTCCAAGCTCCACCTCCTCGCCGGTGATTGGCCGTCTGTGTGCCTCTCCTGAGCTACAGTTCCGGTGGCCAATCAGCGGCGAGGAGGCGGAGCTGTTGAGTGATCCTGGAGGTGTGGCCAGGTGACAGGGGCAGCATGTCATCCCGCCCACACATCGCCTGAGACAGATAGAGGAGCGGTGTCTCGGTTCCTAAGACCATCGGAAATATGTGTTTTCCGATGGTCTTAGGCGACCCCTGGGAAATAGTCGTTCGACCCCCAAAGGGGTCGCGACCCCCAGGTTGAGAACCGCTGTGTTATCTTGTGTGTTCATGTGCACTACTTTAGGCTATTAGCATTTTTCCAGCAGAAAAAAAAAAGATAAACACTTCTAAATGGTACTAAAAAACTCCTAACAGCTTTTTTTCTAGCTTTTTTTTCCCTCTACATGTACTGTAAAAACGCTGATAAAACACTAATGCTCCTAAACGCTACTAAAATGCTGCTAGAAAAAACACTATTATCAGCATTTTGTATTCAGCATTTTTCAGAGCATTTTTTTTAGCTTAAAAAACGCTAGTGTGCATGGAGCCTTAATGCTGAACTTCAGGAAAAACAGCTAAATATACAAATCAACATTTTTCTTCTGCAGTTTCAATTTTACTGACAGGTTCCCTCCCCACCCTGTAAATCGATAGGGAAAAGAGAATGGCCAAAAGTGGGCACAAACCTTTGGGACCACTCTCGTGGGATTGCGGCCGCCCCCCTCCCCTCTCAAAAGGGTTTGTTTGAAGTCTTTAAAGGGTGGGTTTGTCACTTGGAGAAAATTTGGTGTTGGCCCCTTTAAATTATGTTAAGAATTCCAGGGATCCAATCGGGAGTCACAGAAGCTTTTGGAGCATTGGAGGACAGGATATAAGGGGCACCTGGATCGTTTGGGATCAGTGGCCAGCCTGCAAGCAGGAGAGCTCCCCTCCCCCCCTTGTCGCGCGCACTTTGTGTGGTGCTGTCACCCTGGAGCCAGGGGGGACGTTTTCAGGTTTAGATGTCATATGTAATGCTCAGGTTCCAATAACTGAGCCAGAAGAGGGTGATTTATTATATTTTGTATGTTGAATCTCATTAACAGTTATTGTTGTATCTACATAGTTTATCGTATGACACCAATAAAGTGCCGCAGCATTTCTTGCCACAATCCACTTAATGGTTTCTTTTCTTTAATTGGTTGTATTTGGGGAATGTTCTGGTTGGGGGGGGGGGTGCGGTGTGCAATCCCAACGGCTTCCTGATAAGTTGATTTCTATGTCTCTCTGGTCTCTCCCCCCCATCAGCACGCTCCTTGCACTGCAGCACAACTGATTGGCTCTCTGAGCTGGTTCTCTTTCTCTCTGAGCTCTGTTGTACAGTAGACTACACGAGGCTGATAATGTTTACAATACTTTTACTGATTACAGAGCTGTGTTAACTTTGTGTATTTTATACTTGTTGGGAGTTTTGGCGTCAGCATTAAAGGGTGACTCCACTTTTGTGGGGAAATAATAGTACGGTAAATAAAAATTATTATAGCATATACAATTGTGACACAAGTGAGATTGTAATTGAATGTTATTAAAAATTGTTTCCTTTTCAATCTGCACCAGTGACATTTTCTGTAAAATGTAATATGGCAAGCTGGAGGTGTTCTGCACACAGATTGTGTACAAAACTTCCCTAGAAATGTTATTTCCTATTGGAGTTATTGGCTCACTGATTTTCCCAGCAGTCTGCACTAAGATACAAGTCAGATTTTAGGCATCCTCAGCAACAAAAATATCCTATGGAAGTATTACTTTAGGAGTATACTCCCATAGTAATACTTTCCCAAAGGAAATCATGTTTAACCACATGCCGCCCAGCCACTGTATAAATATGGCGGCAGGGCTAGGCAAAACCACATTTTAAAACGTGCGTTTTGTAATCAGGTACGGGGCGCGCCGCCGCCCTACCTGTCCCGCCGATCACAGCCGCAGATGTCAGTCGCCGGGTCACAGCCAGTCCTTACCGGCTATGTCCCGGCGATCGACGGCAATCGCTGACAGAGAGCACAGCTGCAGTAGCTGTGCTTTCTGTCAGTTCCCTGACAGCTCCAGGACAAGCTGATTGGGACAGAAGAGTTTCTCTCTCCCGATCAGCGGTGTTCCTTGCAGTACACACCCCCACCCCCCAGTAAAACACTCCCCTCACACAGATAACCCTTTCCCTGAAAAATAAATTTAACCCCTTCCTCCCCAGTGCCATTAGTACAGTGTCAGTGGGTTTTTTTTGCACTGATCACTGTATTGGTGTCATTGGGGATGTCAGTGACCCCAAGTCAGTACCCCCCAATGTCAGAATGTCTGCCGCAGTCCCGCCATAAGTCGCTGATCGCCGCCATAAGTCGCTGATCGCCGCCATTATTAGTATAAAAAAAACTAAAAATCCCAGTATCTTTCCCGCCATTTGTAAACGCTATAACTTTCACGTAAACCAATTAAGTTACACGTATTGGTTTTTTTTTTTTTTTTTTTAGCAAAGACATGTCGCAGAATGCATTTTGGCAGAAATTTATGACTAAATTTGATTTTTAAATTTTTTTTTACTGGACATGTTTTATAGCAAAAAGTCCAAAATATTGTTTTTTTTTCCTCAAAATTGTCAGCCTTTTTTTTTTATAGCGCAAAAAATAAAAACCGCACAGGCGATCAAATACCACCGAAAGAAAGCTCAATTTGTGGTTAAAAAAGGATGTAAATTTCATTTATGTACCATATTGCATGACCGTGCAATTGTCCGTTAAACTAGCGCAGCGATGTATAGCAAAAAAATGGCGTAAATTGCAGTATTTATACCATAGTTTGTAGACACTATAACTTCCACACAAAGCAATCAATATACACTTATTGGGATTTTTTTTACCACAAAATGTAGCAGAATACATTTTGGCCTAAATTTATAACCAACTTTGAGTTTACTATATATTTTTTATAGCTGAAAGTAAAAAATTTTGTTTTTCTTCAAAATTTTTGGCCTTTTTTTGTTTATAGCATGAAAAATAAAAAGCGCACAGATGATCAAATACCACCGAAAGAAAGCTCTATTTGTGTGAAAAAAAGGACGTAAATTTCGTTTGGGCGCAGCATTGCATGACCGCGCAATTATCAGTTGAATTAGAGCAACGCCGAGTAGCAAAAGAGGCCTGGTCATTAAGGGGGGTAAATCCTCTGGAGGTCAAGTGGTTAAAGGAATGCAGACCCTGCCACTTTCCTCATTAGAGCCCTGCAGGTGCAGCAGCTGATTGATAATTATAAAATCACTCCCATACAGATTCACTCTACACATGGACACAGACAAACAAACAGCTATTTCTTTAGATTAACAAAAAGGTAGGAGTCTGCAACAAAGTTTGTTAGAATCCCTGCAATGTATATAGATCACCCAGAGGGGAATGTGTTTTTTTTTTCCTCAGTAAGCGCGGAGTTACTCTTTCAATAAGAAATGTTTAACAAATGGAATTCAACTAGTCCTTTCTGAAGTCTAAACCGTTTGACACCCCAACAAAGTATAAGACAGGAAGCTCAGTCAATAAAGATTTAGGACTTCATTGTGAACATCTTTTGTTTTTTTTTTAAATCAAGGAGCTCTACAATTCTAGTTTATGTACCTGCAGTGAGAAGAGATGGAAGAATGCCGGGGAGATCCATTCTTTCGCAGTGTGACATGTGTCATGTCTTGTGGGATGGTGATCTGTGAGTTACACTTCACCAAAAACAAAAGATAAAAGAAAAAATATTTCAAAGTATTGAGATTTTCTGGTTACATTCTCAAATGATATGGAAATCAAAGCAAACATCTCAGCATCCTCTCTGTCTAAATATGCAAATGAATATTTTTCCTGTTCAAAGACCACAGCCTATTATCTACAGTCACTATATAACATAATTATAATGCATTTTAGAAAAAAACAACCATATCTGTGAAATCCTGCTATTGGGTTTCCTGTGCTTGTAACAGGCAGGCGCAATTGGAAGGATTTTTAAAAAATGGCTTTTTGTGCCCTTACACCCCAATCACATCAAACCCGACTTTGAAATTGTGCGACTTACAGTGAAGTCGCATGATTTCAAAGTCGGGTGACTTGCAATTTTCAGGTGCGATTTGCAAGACATCTGACACAGATGATTTTTTTTTTTTTTTAATTTTGTTCAACCAACAGCTTGAATGAAAAAAAATTACTTGACTCCCCAGTCCATACATTCGGGGTGGATGGGGGAATCCTCCCTGTTGAGCCTTTATGTTTTGACAGTGGTGAGACCTCCCATCAGAATACACTGATCAGGGCTGCAGGCTACAGCAGGTGGTGCTGATCGAACAGGGAAAATCCAACAGACTGTTTGTACAGTAGTTGCTTGGTAGATCTACTTCTGTACAACTAGCCTGCCCATACATGAATTGAAATTTGGTTGGTCCCTTTCCAAAAAAGAAAACTATGAAAACAATATCTTATGAGAAAAAACATGGCAATTATTTTTATACATGGTGCTTGTAATGCCACTTTGTTAAGATTTTGGTCTGTACTTGAATTAGCAACAGATATTTCTTTATCAAAAGAGACATGCAGGAATGAAAAAAAACAAACTTACTCACCAAGATGGCAGCACCATTTATCTAAACTGCAGCTGCCCTGCCAGCTCTACACTGAGAACTGAGCGATCAAAGACCACTGATCGCTCTGTTCTTGGATCCACTCTGAGCACAGAGCAGTGACTGTCAGTCATCTCTAGAGATGTGCACAATGGAA